TTTTCGACCCACGCAGCACTTTTCCCGTGCAACCTACGAGTCGAGCGACACAATGCAGGATAAGGATGGCGCCTGCGCGCGTGCTTAGGGTTGACAGGTCGGTCGTATATCTTCTTCGTTTATGGCCTGACGCCGAAAACATATATGTCCCCTCTAGTCCCGGTCCCGGAGTGGTCCTTGCCAGCCGTCGAGTTCCATATTTCCGTGTATGTGCCTGTGCCACCGCTATGGAATTGGCGGCGCGCTGGGTTTCGTAAAACGGGAGACCATGTGTGATGGCGCGCCGCGGCTCGGCGCGGGCATATCGCTTAACGAGTGCGCTAAAACCCTCGTTGGGGCAGATACGACGTGCTCCCAGCTCTCTACATGCCGATTGGAGGTGTCGCAATTGGGAAATGCAGCTGACGCTTCGAGCGCGTTCGCAGGGACTGGATTGAGCGACAATGTAGCCCGATATCCGGGATGCGCTGACAACGGAACAGACCAGGCCAAATAAGGATCAGAGGCGTTTCCAGCTTCAAAAACGCGGATGGATCAACGGCGACTGGTCTTGGTTACCTTACACCAGATTGATGTCATCCGACATGGACCAATCGCCGCCTACACATGGAACGCTCCTCCGGCTTCGGGGTCTGGGTCACGAGTCATTCGCGTTACATCACCGCGTAATCCTTTATCCCGATCACGCATTGCACCGCAACGGAGGTTACCAGCAACTCATTTCAAGTACCCTACTTCCCTGCCACGGTAAGCCCATACCCCTGTCTCACCTCTACTCTTTCCCTCATCGGATTGTGAACATTTTTGTCAGTTTTGAACCGTAAGCCCCTCCTCTCCCCTCATATCTGGCACCATTTGACCGTTCCGGATTCCAGACAGCCAAATGGATTGCACTTCGGTTAAAGTACCTCGGGGAGACCCGATGATTCGCTTTCGCCAACTCCAGGCTATCTGCAATGGTCGGCGCACGATTAACAGACTCCCCACGGAGGTCTTCGCCGAAATCTTCGCGAACGCTCTCACCGAATGGACCGACAACCCGTACTTCCTGCAGGACCTCTCCCAGGTCTGTTCGCAGTGGCGGAGAATCATCGCCGGATCGCCGCTGCTCTACAGATCCTTCAGGCTGAAGTGTCCCAGACTTACGGCTCGCCACTTGCGACGATCGCGTACCCTTCCCCTCGACGTCGACATCTACGATGTGAATTTGGACATGCCTAGCACCGTCGCACTGATGAACAGCATCACCGTCTTGAGCCCTCAGCTGGACCGCGTGCGCTGGCTGAACGTGACTTCCCATTCATCGAAGCTCAGCGCGTGGATACTAGGCATGCTCGAGGACCTGCCCCATCACAGGCTGACGAGCCTTTCTCTTGCGCTTTCCCGTCCAGAATGGCCGGCATCACTACGCTTTCCCGAATCGCCGGAGGCAGAGCGGGTCTTCCGCGGACTCACTTCGCTGACTCTGCAAGACCCTAACATCGGGGGGGCGCTCCTCGAACCAGCGGGACTGCGGGACAGTATCCACTTCAACCTACGCCGACTCACGCTGGAATTCATCGTAGCGGTCCCGCCAACAAACGCTACGCTGATACATCTCCTATCGCGATGCCCGGAGCTCGAAGAGTTCACGCTGCGCTCGGTGGACCCAGTCGCGTTCGAGCGCACCGATAGATACGGCTGTCCAATGTGCCAACTTCTCAAGCTCAGGACATTCACATACCACGCCCCGAACTTCAAGACCCTCGCAGACATCACACGCCACGTTGAACCGAACGTCTTCCAGATGCCCAAGTTCGACCTGTCCATTCCGACTTTATCTGACAAGGCGATCGCAGCGCTCCTTCGTCGGCCGAGTGATGATGGCAAGCGAGCATACCAGCTTGCATGTCTAGGCGAGGGCTTGCGCCGCATGGACGTGCGCTGCTTGAAACAGCAGTGGCAGATTCTGGGCTTCTACACGAAGGAGCGCACCACATCAGCCCCCGACGTCACCTTGGCCCTCGAACCAAACGGCCTCGTAACACGCTCGGAACCGAGCCTGTTCTTCTGGTCGTGGCCGATCAAGGACGTTTCGAGCGTCACGGTTCTCACCTTCCATCTGTGCCGCGACTTCGTTGTACCCCCAGACGCGGCGCAATGGACCAGCCTCCTTCGTTCGATGCACTCCCTCGAGACTCTAGTGCTGGTCGGGGCGTGGTGGGCAGATATACACCAGCTGTTTAAGGCATTGGACCCAGCCTTTCCTGATGGCTCTCTGTTGTGTCCCAAGATGACTACAGTGGAGCTCATCGATTCTGATACTGTCGGATACTGTCAACCTTCAGTCCCCGCCGCCTCTCATTCCCAGATCCACCACCGACGATGTATTGATATTGGCACCCTCGGGGCGCGATCGTGGCTGGAACCCAGGTTCCGACGAGTGATATCGGGAGGGACCGAGGATGACGAGGATGAAGATACATACTGGCGAGCCAGCGGCGACGAATGGTCGGTGGGACAGGTAGGATTGTAACTTGGAACGACGTACCCCACGATAATATTGGAGGTTCTCTTGAGTAGTCCGTGGGTCAAGGTTCTGAATACGCACTCAAGTTTCTTAATGTGGCTGTAAGGGGAGAATATCGCACTGCGGGCTGAAACTCGCATCGAGCACCGGACATCAGCAAAACCGCTGGACGCTCCCAGGGATTTGGCGCCCGTCGCGCGGGGGGGAGCGCTCCCAAGCACTTGCAAGTGGTCCGCGCGCGCGGGAGCGATATTGGTACGGAGCGGCATAGCGGACGTAGTGTACGCGGTGGACGTATACGGGGGGCGTAGTCGGAGGATCGGCTCGGTCGCATCCAAGCGCTCGGACGGGAATATTAGTCTCGATCGGATTAGTGGCAGTGTGCGATTCCTGGCGCTTGTAGCAGGTCCGTTTTTGTTCCCGCGCCCCGTCCGCGCGCTCGCGCGCCGCCTCCCCCGACTGATCATGATCACCCACTTAGATCTCTGGATCCATTCCCCGCACATGTACAACTTGCCCAAGACATGATCATGATCACACAGTGACATATAAGATGACTCGAAACAGACAATTCTCAACGTTACGCTAGGCATGTTCCGACCAGAATCGCCGACTACAAGCTCGAGCCCAACGAGTCCTCGTTCCTCTCGTTCCTCTCGTTCCCCACGTATCCATCAGACTCTCCCACGTATCATATCTATCCCAGAACGCGACGATCGTGCACGGATTCTGCGACGACGCCAGCAAGCGGATGGGGATATTGCGGGCTTTGCAGTCGAAGTAGAAAGACCAGGCACGCGGAACAGAACCACCGGCGGATTGCGTCCCCGGTCGTCTACTGACGTCCTCTACACTGGACGCTCCAACGCCGTTCCTATAGGTCAGAATATTGAGTCCTATAGTGGTTTTCCCCTCTAATGTTGCTCCCTATGTAGGCAAGCGCAACGTGCCATCATCCGCCGTCGGTCACGATCCTCCTCCACCTTTGTTCACGGTAGGAAATGTATCGATTTATCCGGCCGGAAGCTAATGCCTCTGTGTTATAGCAATGTTTCTTTTGCCGTCAAGGCGGTTTCATTGTCATATGTGAACGTTGCAAAAGCGTCGCAGTATGCATAGCAAAGAACGGCCTAGGCGCCTGCGTCCCCGATTGCTCATCGTGGATATGTCCAGACTGCTACGCGGATGCAGGAGAGGTTCCCCCAGTATGCATACTCCATTATACGGGCTTATACTAGACGATAACAACTCTATCAGTACACTATACCGTCCCGGGCAGTAGGGGGGAGTCGGGCCGGCATGAGCGGCACACCGCTCATCGTACTTCAAATTTACTTCGAAGACCCTACTGCGGAGTTTGACGCGCCAAAGGCCTCCTCCGACCACATCGAGAACTTGGCACGAAGCCGATTTGTGGGTCGCGTGAGTATCGCATTAGCTTCTCTATCGTATGTGTACACGCTCACGCTGTGTATCCAGGAGAGCGCATTGCTGGCCCTACGATGTGGCTTCCGTCATCTAGGAAGCAAGGAGTCCACGAAGGAGCTTGCAGATTGTAAACGTCGCATCGCAGCGTTCACGAGGTGAGAACACATCCCCCGCGCTTCAATCTACCAAGGGTTTCATTCGTATTGCAGTTCTCGCGCTGCTGAGATTGTGATTGTGATTAACACTCACGCAGACCCTGGCAAAGGTGGTCTCTACTACACCCCTACACATACAGTGAGCCTTGACGCTGTGAGGATTGCTTCTGATTTGCATTTTGTACTCTCATAACTGACTAAGATGACAGATGTTGGACCACCTTTGTCGCGACATGTCTCCTCGGAAGTTCTTGCGCAGCACGCTGTTCCTGCTATGCTGTGGTGGACTGGTTACACACGCCTTCGACGAAGTTAGACGTGCTAGGTGAGCTATAACGCTTGTGTGCGCCATATACGCTAAGTAAAATCTATGTTCCAGTCAAGCGTTCAACTCTGTCTTCGCGTTCGATGCTTCGCAGGTTGATCCCGTCGTCGTCAGCGCTAATTTCGTGGCCACCATACTGGAATATGGCGTTTTCGGTCGGGAGACTATCTGGAACGCCTTTCAAAGGGCGGGGAACTCGGATGTGCTGTTCCACACTGCCGTCTATGCCGGAATTGAAGGCAAGATGTATCGAATGCGCTATGCCCCTGTTCGTCATCGACCAAACGGAGAAGACGTCCTTTGCTGCCTCCAAGAGCCGAAATACGTGAATATAGACGAATTGAAGCAACGTGTTCTGTATCGATGCCAGCAGCGTTGCCACAAAGGCCCTCGACGCTTCATTGTGAAGCTTTTACCCACGGACGAGGAGACGCGATGGGTCGTTGGGGATGTAGGCCAACATCGCTACATCACTGTATCTCTGGATTCGGGCAAGTGGGCGACGCAGTAGTAGAAGTCCTGGAATGTATCTCGAGCGATATAGTCACCTTAAACATGGTCAATCCCTCTACGTCTGGCGCGAGCCTTGAACTTGCTTGAATATGAAGCTGTGCCAAGCGCTGAGAGAGTGAGGGCGTGGGCGCCTCTTGGCGGATAGAAGGCCCGGCCGGGGCATCGGCCCGTGGCATCGTAGGCGGGCGTCCATCCGCAGTTCCGAGTCACTGAGTCCCCCACGACAATGCCCATCTTCACCTATACTCGCTGCACTCGTCGGCAACTCCTCTCATGGCTATCTATTCCGAGGATACTGGAAAACGCGTAGTGGCCGAACTACGGCTGGGTGTGACTGCGGAGTAGTCGGACGAGACCAGGTCAGACCGGCACCCTACACCTTCCATCCAGCCCGCCGTGGCCAAGCTGATCGTGGCCAAGCTGATGCACGGAGTCCCTGTTCATGTGCTGGCTGTACGTGTTCGCGGACGTGCCGTATGTTCTGATCAGTGTT